CTTTCTTGCCTGCATTGCATGCCAGCCTCTGGCTTCTTTATTATTCCTTCCATCCAGGAACAGCACATACACCAACTACAGGTGCTTCCTCAGTCTGATGAAGGGTTTTTCAACTCGAAAGCTTGCTAAGATATATTTCTGTAACTATTCAGTTGGTCTGCTAAAAGAAACCAGTTTAGATTGACCCAAAGGACCTTGTCTGCCATTGCCATGTCCTTAGACCAACACCCCTACCACCTGACCAGAAAGATGCAGGGCCCTGGGCACATCTAAGCCCCAGGGCTGGGGTTAGCAGGGAGAGTTCTCTGGCAGCTGCTGGAGAAGCAGCTCCTGCAGGAGAAGAAAGAAAGGCTTTTGTCACAGTTTGGCTGCCTGATGCTACTGTCCTGCTGCTCACTAAGTTATTATTTTACCTGTTGTCATTTAAAGTGCCAGACAGGACTGAGGCTGTAGGGAAGGAGGAGACCTCATTGGGGCACACAATCATGTCATGTAGAGGCCCCAGCGTCAGTGAGGGCACGCCTTAACACACACACAGTGTCACCCATGTCACAAGTCTTGCTTGTCAGCAGCTTAAGGTGCAGTTTCCCAGAAACTTGGCAGACTTCAGAGCCTCAGAAGGGGCTACCATCCCTGCAAGTTTCATCTAAATTGGGCAGGAGATGACAAACTTATAGGCAGTTTCATGCTTCCCCATTATAGTCTATGGGCGAAACATCGAAACAGTATCAAAACAGTGAAACAGTTTTGACAAAACGAAACGGAACAGTGGTTTCAAAATGAAACAAAACTCAAAATGAAACACTGTCCCATCAAAATGGTGAAATGGAGTCAAAACGAAATGGTACTGTTTCAGAAACCCTAGTGCACAGCACCACAGGATTCAACTCCCAATAGGGAGCTTCCACTATATACATTTTGGCTACTGTAACATGGCCTAGGAATGATCTATTTTCATAGCAAAAGCAGCCCGTTTAACTCGGTTCTCACACAGTGAGTAGCTGCATAACAAAAGTTATCAAGGGGAAGCTGAAGATTTTGGCAGCGGGGCTAGTGGCAACTGGTGAGACATTAGAGGAGGTTGGCAGTTTAATTAGATGTTTCTTCTAACATGAAGACAGGGTGGATTTGCACCTTATAGACTAACTAAATCAGAGATGTACAGTGTAAGCCAGGGATCTTCAACTCCCGGCCTGTGGGGCAGATCCTTTCTGCAGAGCCATATGATCTGCCACAGGGCTCCTCACAGATCTGAAAATTTGGCAGCAAGGGAGTAGAGGCAGCATTAACCACCGCTCCCCCACTACCAAATTTCTGGACCCCTGGGGGGCCCTGCATATTAGATCAGCTCCATGAGGCTAGGGCAGCACAGGTCTGGGCGTGTGGGGCCAGGGCAGTGTGAAGTAGGATCTGGGCATGCAGAAAGTGAGATCCAGGCACACGGGGATGGATATGGGTGCCATGAGATTGGATTCAGCCCTCTGCCTCTGGATCCCAGCAGTGCAATGCCAGACCTGAATGTCCAGGCCCAATCCAGGTGGCAAAAGGCAAGATCTGGGCAGTACAGGGCTGGATCCAGGAAGCACAAAGACTGATACAAGCATGCAGGAACCAATCCAGGTTGTGCGAGGTGGGATCCAGGAAGTGCAAGCCTCAAACTGGGTGTGCGGGGCCCAATTTGAGTGGCGTGAGGTGGGATCTGGGAGGGGCAAAGCCAGATCCAGCCATGCAAGACATAACCCAGGTGGCACAAGGCAGAATCCAGTCTGCAGACCATCCCTGTGCCACTTATCTGGCCTGTACAGCCATGAGGTTGACCACCATAGGCATAAGTTTTTGTAAACAGTGGATTTATTTCATCATGTGTTGTGAAGAGACTGCAGTTCCCTCCCAGTATCTGATGAAGTAAGTCCACTAATGAAAGGTGATACTGTACATCACCGATTTGGTTAATCTATAAGATGCAAATCTACCCTGCCTTCTGCATCGCTTCAGGCTAACATGGCTAGCTACCCCTCCATCCTTACATGATCAACACTGAGAGAGTTTTTAATGTTTACACTTAGAGGCATCATTAGATTTCAGATGTGTGCGGGCCGGGAGCGGTCCGAGGCCCTCGGGGGCTTTTGCGCGGCGCGGGCTGTGGCCAGCAGCCCTGGCACGCGGGTCAGGGAATGCAGGCCGGCGGGCTAGAATTAGGCACGGACGCTTAGCTGTTGATTAAAGATTATTTTACTTACACCGAAGATGGTCGCGGTGCAGGCAGGAAAACTTGCTTGAGTTGTGGTTACAGACAGAAAAGAAGAGAGGTGGACAAGAGTTCCTTCCACGCAAACCTCTAGCCCAATCCGGTTGAAGGCTCTAAACACGCGAGCCCGTCGTGTCAACCGAAGAAAACAACTCGGAGAAAGAGCTCTGGATACACTCACACAAAGTTTGCTAGGCTCCGTGGTACTTGCGCGCAGGGAAGGGGTTCGTCGAAGGATTGCACTCGGCGACGGGGAGAGGCCAGAGGTTGATCAGACCCCTATAGCCTTCTCAAGGTATATGCTGGGTCCGATAGGCTCCGCAGCGCTTAGAGATCTTCACAAGACGTGAAGTCCTCCTCCTCCAGATGGTTGTGGAGTCCTCCAACTTGGGCGGAAACCGCTCAAGCCTCTTATACGGCTAGCAAGCCAATCACTAGCCGCCACGTGGGAATAATTTAGAACTGGCCAATAGTGGGACACAAATTTGCATGCGAATGGCAGGAACTCCTTTGCACCGTGCATTTCTCTTTGCAACTAAGAAATGCACCCTGCAAAGAAAGCTCCTTGTGGCGGGAAATAATTTAGCAGTGCCGAAGCGCACACAAACAAAATCACACCCTTGGGTTGTGACAAGATGAACACTGAATGTGGCGTGGATGTGGAAGTACACATCTCTCACAGCCATTGTATCTGGTTTTCTGCAAACTTAAACAGACATTGCATCACTAATTACTCTAAACTCGTGCTTTCAAAGTTCTTTTGGAACCATAAAGGCTAGAAGTATAGCTTTGTGCCAGGAAAAGTTGAGATTCTCCAACATAATTTCGTGGTCACAGGGTCACATAATTTATGTTGTGCTGGCGACAGTGAAGAGAAAATCAGATGTGTAATGGTGGCAACAGTGTCCACGAACTTCTGGGCAATAGGTATGCAACTATCAGGTAAAAAAGAAGAGAAAGGAAATTCAATGTAACATCAGTCAGGGATCCAGGTTTTCCATTTCCCATGGGGAAACAGAAAAACACAGATTTCCCCCTTTACCCAAGAAAAATGCAGATTTTTCATTTTAATGGAAAAACCCATGGATTTTGTACTTTTGCAAAGAGCTCTCTGCACGCTGGCTGGGGAGGGTGGGAGGAGGACGGTCAGGTAGGGAGCGCCATGTGCATATATGTGCATATGGACCCAGGCAGCCTGGACGGCAGCTCCAGCAGGTAAGTGGCGGGGGGATTGAGGCCCCCATAGGGATGGAGGGAGGCTGAGGCTAGGGCTGCTGCCCAGCTGGGGGATACTTGAGGCTTGGGGCCCAGGGCCAGAAAGCACGGGGCAAGTACAGGCTGCCCACTGCAGGCTCAGGCTCCTGCCCTGCTGCCCTCCCTTGGGGCCTCCAGAGCCCAGTGGATATGACCTGGTGCACAGTGGGGCTGTGCAAGGAAGCTCCTTGCCGCTGTGAGCTCCGTGCTGCTCCTACGACATGCCCCTTGCCTACCCAGCAGCAGCGAGAGGCAACACCCCACACTGCTACCCCCTCATGACCAGGGGACACCTCTCTAGGGCAGTGCGGAGCTTGCAGCAGCAGTGAGCTTCCCTGTGCAGCCTCACTCTCCCATGGCATACCAGGTCACAACTGGTGGGCTGCAGAGGCCCCCAGGGGAGGTAGCAGGGTGGGGTTGCCCGGGGGAGGGGAGAGCCAGGCTCCATGCTCCACCCCGCTCCAGAAACCACCACCTCCTGTGGGCAGCAGCCAGGGCTCCGGCAGTGCTGTGGAGGGCAGGGGGTGCAGACCTGGGCCCCTGGCCCCATAGCCCTGGCAGCTAGAGGCCCCTCTGGCAGGGCTGGAGTGGGGCAGGAGGCTGTGGGTGAGGGGCAAGGAGCACCAGCAGGGCCAGGGGGTTGGGCGGGGGGTGGGG